GACAATGTGTGTGTAGATAGTGAGTAATTGAACTGCAGTCACAGGGTATTGTTGAAGTTAACGTTCGTTCGTTATATTGTTTGTTTTAGCGCGAATATTGAAATTAAGTGTATCGTAAAGTTATATTCGGAAAGAACAAACCAGTTTTATTAAGTAAAGACTTGTGTCGCTAAAGTTTCGTCGGAACGAAGTTACGGAAAAATCAATTAACAAACGGAGACGTAACAATAATATAACCTTTAGGACTAATTGTTAAAATATTGTTTGGACTTCATGGATTGTTATAATAATATAACCTTTAGGACTAATTGTTAAAATATTGTTTGGACTTAATGAATTGTTATAATAATATAACCTTTAGGACTAATTGTTAAAATATTGTTTGGACTTCATGGATTGGTATTATGATTAAAAGCTATAATTACAATAATCAAAGAACTCTTATTCCTTAAGATGACTATTCTGTCCTAGAAACAGTAGATGACATTCACATCTTGACTGGTGCCTTAAAGCTTTTCTTCAGAGAAATGAAGGAGCCTTTAATTCCTGTTTCTTGTTTTCTCCAAATCATGGATGTCCTTGGTGAGTTAATTAGTAGTTCCTGTTGTTTTTGAAGATTGTAGTTAATTATATCTAAAATTCAATTATTTATGTCTTGTTGTTGTTGTGTATGTGTTTTTGTTGTTTATTTATTTTAACAGAATTTTAAAATATTGTGCCATGAATGTAGTTAAGAAGGTGGTACCTTTCATTGTGTTTTGGATATTTTTAGTTAACCCTTACGCTACTGACTTCTTTACATCTCATTCTCCACAAGTGCAGTAGTATTACGTTTTTGCCTGTAGCAATATTTAGTGTCAAAAAGTGACACACGTAAATAGGATGAAATTACTAATTTTTCTGTGTAACGTACATAAGATACCCTAGCGGCAAATAGTGGAACTAATTGAAATACTAGTGGTATTTTTTTTTATATCAGCTGTTAATTCGTTTTTCGTGCACTACTAAAATGATTATGTTGCAATTATTATAAACATAATTTTCATTTTCCCATGCCCACCCCCCCAGTGGTTCGGCTGTAAGTCTGCAGGTTTAAGACGCTAAAAATCTGGTTTCGATACCCATGATTGCTAGAGCACACATAGCTCATTGTGTAGGTTTGCGCATAACAAAAACCAAAACAAATTATTTTCACTAAAAAACAGGTGGAAGAATGTGACTTATGATAAAGAACAGTTATAATCTAAACTAAGACTTCTGATGTATTAAACTTGGTTCTGTTCTTTTGGTGATCGTGAAGACGAACAGTTATAATCTAAACTAAGACTTCTGATGTATTGAACTTGGTTCTATTCTTTTGGTGATCGTGAAGACGTACAGTTATAATCTAAACTAAGACTTCTGATGTATTAAACTTGGTTCTGTTCTTCTGGTGATCGTGAAGACGTACAGTTATAATAAATACATCAGAAGTCTTAGTTTAGCGTCTTCACGATCACCAAAAGAATCGAGCCAAGTTTTTCTCAGTGTAAACCAGGAAGTACAGACAAATTATTCCTTTGGCACTGTGGCTGTTCACCGCGGGGAATCGAACCCCGGATTTTAGCGTCTTGAATCCGTAAATTTTCCGCTGTCACAATATAGGACATGTTATTCATACTCAGAATGAGTTACATCAGTTTACAATATGAAATCTTGTAGGAAAACAAACTTATTGTAAGAGGCTTTTTTATAAAAACAAATAATATAAAACTGTCTCTCTCTCTCATGTAGGAAAGCAAACCATGGAAAGAAAACTGACATCCATCAAAGAGATAATTCATTCTTTACCTGAGTCGAATTATGAAACTTTAAAGTTCTTGCTTTGCCATTTACTGAGGTATATCTTTAATATTTTACTGCGAGATCTCATCTAAAACACAGTTTTATACTATGGTAGTTTAAGTTTTCATTTGGGATGTGTATGTCATAAAACCTACGAGAACAACAACAACAAAGATAATGAATATGTAACACGTACGTTACTTGTCATATTACTCCCACAAGATGTCTCTCTCTATTCAGGACCTTTTTTTCCCTTAAAATTATTTTTTATTATCAAAAACTGTAACTTAAACTATTCAACAGTTTTTACAAACTGAACTCGTGAGTTTCCGACATAAATTATATATCTACAGTCTACAGGGAAGGATTGCATCAATTTTGTAGTATTAAAAAAACAACAATGCATTTAAATATGTTATTCCAACACCAAGTATCTTTAGCAATTTGACTTACACTAGGACGATGACAAAAAATAGGTGCTAGGTTATAGAGTTAACTTTAAGCAAAACAAAAAACCACACTTCTCCCTAATTACAAATGTAGCTTGTCCTCAAGCCTAATGATGAAAATATGCTGTTGTCTTTTTAACTGGAAACTAAGTTGTTATGTGAGTGTATGTAAATATCGTCATTTCCTGAGATCTGACCCTCAATCCCATAGCATGCCAAAGAAGGAATAGTCTTATTAATACAGTTTTCTTTGTTTTTTACCGTTTCACTACACTATTCACATTTTTCTGACCAGTTTATTTGTATATAAGGTGTTGCCAGTATCACTGTTTTGTAACAAGCGCAATAAAATAATGCTGAAGTACAGGATTGTGTTTTTCTAACTGTTTATCTTTAATTAAATATTCTGAGTTTTTTTATGCAGAGTTGAAAAGTGCCGGGAAAGGAACCTGATGGACATACAAAACCTGGCTATCGTATTCGGGCCCACTCTGATGAGCTCAGACTCAGACTTAGTCAACATGGCATTGGATGTGTTACATCAGAATAGAGTACTTGAGTACTTGCTTCTGGAATTTGATCAGATATTTTCTGCTCGTCATATTTCTAGTAACCTGCTACCATAATACTACAAAACATTTCAAGAAACATTGTCCATTTTTCTGCTTTTATTTGGCAGACTTGTAGGGTATATATACAAGTGATTAGGGGTCTAACTTCTGATAGAACCCACCTTGAAGAAAAGAAAATACTTCAACAATAACCCCTGGCAGCAATGGTAATGCTTTCGTGGATCATTCTTGAAATACTGTTTGGACTTATTGGATGTCAAAAAATGTTATTTGTAATACAACTTTCCGTATCATCGTCTTATCAAAATTCTAAGTGATATGCAAGTGGTTTTATGTAATTAATTTTAGTAATTCGTTTTTATGTTCAAATTAAATATTTAACTATCTTTATACAGTTGTGATGAGCTATAACAGAAAGAAACGTTTTTATTATTTAATTGTTAATTTTGATGTCTATTAATTATGATATTTCACTACGAATAGGAATAATAAGTAAAAAATGTGTTTGGTAAAGGCAACATTAAAAAAGATGTTGGTGAAGGCAACATTAAAAAAGGTGTTCGTAAAGGCAACAAATTAAAAAAGGTGTTGGTAAAGGCAGGTGTTTGGTAAAGGCAAATTAAAAGGTGTTTGGTGAAGGCAACATTAAAAAATGTTTGGTAAAGGCAACACGGTGTTTGGTAAAGGCAACATTAAAAACGGTGTTTGGTAAAGGCAACATTAAAAAAGGTGTTGGTAAAGGCAACATTAAAAAAGGTGTTTGGTAAAGGCAACATTAAAAAAGGTGTTGGTAAAGGCAACAGTAAGCACAATGGTAACAAGCTAACTCGGTGCGAACTTTAAATAAAACCACGTGTTTTTTTTGTTATTAAACAAGTGTTGTAAATATGTATATAACATAGACTTTGCACCATAACGATGTAAATAAATACATCATTTGTTTTGTTTCAGGTATTTTAATATTACAGGAGCTGTACGTTTAAATTCAAATATAAAACTTGTGTGAGATGAGAGCAAAAGTTTATAAATATAATTCACTTGTTTGTTGAGATTGTATTCATACGCTGTAAGAAATTGTTTCAGAACTTTGAAGGCTTATTTTATTAATTCTAGATAAGAACTATATCTTGTATTATAAGATGTAAAATGTTTATGTATTAAAAGCTCTATATAAAATACATATTGTACGTCCGTTTGTTTGTTTGTAATTATGCACAAAGCTACACAATGGGCTATCTGTGCTCTGCCCACCACGGGTATCGAAACCCGGTTTCTAGCGTTGTAAGTCCGCAGACATACCACTGTGCTACTGGCGGGCAAATTCGTCTGACTAAATTGTGTGTCAATGTCCGTGTGTCAGAGTAATAGTTGTCACCTCTCGTTAGTGACTTCATTTGACAAAATACGTTTGAGAAATTCATCAAGTATCTAGTTTCAAGTCCTAGGAAGTACTTTTTTCGGTTGTTAATCGGCCTTAGCTTCATGGCAAGGATTGTGCAATTTTGTGCAATAGTTTCTATAGTAACGAGCTTATGTTAAGTATGACAATGTCATTTTTAGACCAAAACATCCTGATAAACCTTCTACTGACTTTTTGGCTTTTACTCTACATGGAAGTCGAAATGGTGTGTTCAAGTGTTTTACACTCACAAAAAAGAAACCTATCATTCTGTAGGTATTTGAAGAACTTGTAGCATTCCGCCACAATTTAATTATTCGTATTGTTTAAACAACTCTATTCAATTATGTACATGGCACAAAAGTCCACTGGAGTGTACCGACAGATGTATGTGATCGTCCACTGGAGTGTATCCACAGATGTATGTATTGTGGTGATTCCAGTTTTATAAAACACATTTTTCTGTTTATTATTAAATGTGAGTGGAAGCTTGTGGGTTCTAAGACTTCAAATATGATATTTTGTCTTGAAACATAGCCCTGATGAGGACATAACTCCAGACTGACTTCAATGTGGTCTCAAAGCAACTTGCAGCCATGAATGTGCGGGTTTTTTAGCCTTCATGAAGAATATTGAAGGCTTTCTGTTTTATCAGAACATCATGTAACAAGGTCGTGTCTGTACATCGTGTAACAAGATTGTGTCTGTACATCGTGTAACAAGATAGTGTCCGTACATCGTGTAACAAGAATGTGTCTGTACATCATGTAACAAGATTGTGTCTGTACATCGTGTAACAAGATAGTGTCCGTACATCCTGTAACAAGAACGTGTCTGTACATCATGTAACAAGATAGTGTCCGTACATCCTGTAACAAGAACGTGTCTGTACATCAT